TACAAAAAGACCTTTCTTTACTCCAGAAAAAAAGATGGAATTAGACATGCAAAATATTTAATGGGAGAACCACCTATAGAAGGTAAAGGAGGAAGAAGCAGAAATAGGGTGGAAGAACTTTGAAACCATGGTCTGAAACTTGTGAAAGAAGGATTAAGTAGGAAGAGCCTCATACTGCAATGCAGTCCTAAGAAAGTCTTGGACAAGGCTGACTGGGAGTACCCAAGCAAAAATTGTCCATTAGAACAATCCCACAACAGGCAATAATAGTCTGGTACTAGTAACTCTGCCATGCCTAGTTATTGTCTAAGAGTTAACCAGGGGGAAGAAAGGCCTGGTGGGAACACTGCAATAGATTCAAATGTTATATATCTAGAGTCTGTCAGCCATCAGTGATCTTTGCAGCAGGTTCTCTCATAGGAAGATCTGAATGGGGAATTGCCATGGCTGCTACATGCTTCTTTTTACCCCTATAGATTTCCCCCCATGCTTTTCTATCTGCCACTGCCTCTGTCCACCCCACTTTTTATTGGTTGACTGCCACTAGTAATTTAAACTCAGCTATCACTTCCTTCATGAAGCTTCCTCTGACACACGCAAGCTGAGTCAGGAGCCCACTTGAAACATACCTCTATCACACTACTTATATATTTAGGAACCTGTTCCTATCACTTGGATGAAAGCAATTTGAAGGCAAGGATTGTGCCCCATGTATCTCAATATTCCCAACACCTGACATTGTGTTCAATAAACATTTGCTACATGAATGAATGAGTAAATGAATAAATAAATGAATGAATACCCAAACTCAATGTCCCCAATTTACAACATCTGTTCTAATCAAATTTGTCATTTGTCCCTTTATTGTCTCAGAAAAGCATTTTTCTCATTTTTTGCCTTCTTACTTTGTTTTCTTCATGTCTCTGCTCTTACCTAAAATGTCTCTTTTTTTGTCTTATCAAGTTGTAATCATTCTGCAGGACCCTGCTTAGTCTGAACTCACCGTAAGACCAGGCCTTCCATATATGCTTCCATCTACTCTAATTCCCTGTTTCTCCAAACGTTCACTGCATTTGACAGTCTGAACCACACAAAGCTAGGGTACTTGATTATACATGTTCTTGCATTGCTCACTAATCATTTCTGGGGTGATGAGCTTAGCTTGCGAATTAGATGTTAATGCAATAAGAGAAGGGTTTATTTTGTATACTTCTTTATGCCCCCCTTCTAAAATATAGAATAATGCAAAGTACTGATTAAAAAAATGTAAACCTTTCATTTCTGAAGGGCTGTCATTCTCTGCATACAGCTACCAGAGGAAAGTGAAAACTCTTTTCCTGGAAATTATATATATAGGTGAATCATCCTTGAGACTTAGTCAAGAGCCCTCTACTGCTAAAGTGGTTTAATCAGAAATGTGAGAAACAGAGAAAGGTCCTAACTGGAATCTTAGAGATGTAGGTGACTAAACGTGTTACTTCCACAAAAGTTTATGACAGGAGTGACTTTGTCTTAATGGGAAATTCATTCTACTAACTATTTGCTCTATTGTAGTTATTCTACGTGAAGACAGCATTGTTTGATACCCCTTGTTATTTGATATGTCCTAAAGAATCTTTGATCCCAGTTTCTCATACTATCTATACATTTATTCATTCATCTAACATATTTTTACTGAAAATCTGAAGAGATAGAAGAATATAATGGGTAGTCCAGATACCAGAACCAGAAGGCCTGGGTTCAAATCTTGGCTTTATCACTTGTGTTGTGTGACTGAAAAGCACTTACTATCTCTGTGCCATCTGTAGATGGGATGATAAAAATAATAGTTTCCTGATAAATTCATATGAAAATAATTAATATTTAAAAAGTACTGAGAAGAGTGCTTCATACACAATAAGTGCTATATAATTTTTAAGCTACAATTGTAATTATTACTACATACCAAGTGTCCACAGACTTACCTCTCCTGTCTTTCCTGTATTCAGTTTCTTCCATTCTCTAAAGTGTTCTGTGGGAACAGTTCCTCTAGAAGGCCCACTCAGAATAAACATATATTTCCAGGAACTTAGGTTACTCTATCAGATGTACTATTTGACATCTTGGTTTTTGATGGGATGAGAAAAAGAACAGGAAAAATTTAATGCTGGACATTGCATACAAATTAGACTGGGAATAAGGAAACCTAGGTACTGGGTTCTAGTACTCCCCTTGCCATTTTTCTCTTGTCCTTTGTGTGATATTGGATAACTCTTTTAGCCTTCCTAGGCTTTCATTGACTCATCTTTAATATTAGTTAGTTGGCTTCATGTAATAGTTTTCATATGTTTATTTTTTTATATACTGGCAAATGGATAAACAATTGTGGTATATCCATGCAATGAAATATCATTTGACCATAAAAAGGAATAAAATACAACATGAATGAACCTTGAAAACATTATGCAAACAGAAATAAGCCAGTCACAAAAGATAGCATATTATATAATTCCATTTATATGAAATGTTCAGACAAAGGAAATCTATAGAGACAGAAAGTAGACTAGTGGTAGCCTAGGGCTGGGGGGTATGTTGGGGCAGGAAGGGACATGGTGGTTAATGTATATATAGTTTCTTTTGAGAGTAATGAAAATGTTCTCAAGTTGACTGTGGCAGTGGTTACACATATCTGTGATTATACTAAAAAACATTGAATTGTACACTTAAAATGGGTGAATTGTATGGTATGTGAACTATATCTCAATAATGCTATTTAAAAAAAAAAAACAGTGTACCAGCATTCATAGCTGCATTGTTTATAATAGCAAAAATATAGAAACAACCCCAATATCTATCACTGAAGAGAAGGATAAAAAAATGGAATGGCTATACAATGGAATATTATGCAGCCATAAAAGGAATGAATTACTGGTTAATGCTACCACATAAATAAACCTACCCCTGAAACATGCTAAATGAAAGAAGCCAGATGCAAAAAAAACTACATATTGTGAGATTTCACTTATGTGAAATGTCCAAAAGAGGCAAACCTGTGGAGAAACAAAGTTGATTAAAGGTTTTCAGGGGATGTGTGTAAAAGGAAATTGGGAGTGGCATTAACAAGTATGGGAGTTCTTTTTGGCATGATGGAAATGTTCTGGAGTTAGATAGTGGTGTTGGTTTTACACAATAATGTGAATATATTAGAAACTACTATATTGTACACTCTAAAGTGATTATTTTTATGTGAATTTATCTTAAATTTAAAAATTGCCCAGAAAGGTCCTGGCTGGTGTAGCTCAGTGGATTGAGCACCGGCCTATGAAACAAATGGTAGCTGGTTCGATTCCCAGTCAGGGCACCTGCCTGGGTTTCAGGCCAGGTCCCCAGTGTGGGGTGTGCAAGATGCAGCCACACATTGATGTTTCTCTCCCTCTCTTTCTCCCTCCCTTCCCCTCTCTAAAAATAAATAAATAAACAAACAAACAAATAAATCTTTTTAAAAATGCCCAGAAAGGCTATACAGGAGTAAATTCTGATTTAATGGCAGCCCCCCTCCAAAAAAAAAAAAAGATACATGGCCAGTTAGTAAAAAGAACCAAATAAAAGAGTGTGTGTGTTTTTTTTAGAAGCTTGAGGAAGAGTTTTAAAGATAAAGTAGTAAAAATCATCCAAGTTCCTACATATGGATACCATTCTCACCAGGCATCCTTTTCATTATAATTTAGCTTTTTGTGTACTTTTTTTTTTTGAGAGATCATTTACTGACCAGAGTTTTCAGGTCTTCTTGGCCATTATATTTTTCATGAAAAAAGAATGACTTGATTTAGAATTTTGTGTTGGTTCATACATGTTTTCTAGTCATCCCACTGAGGCATAGTTGACCCTTCCCCCTCTGAATTTTAGTTCAGATGTGGAGGCTCTTGACACTCCATACACCCAGAGAATGAGATAAATTTATTACTCAAGGGGCCCAGGGGAAGGAGGGGATCCAAACAAATCTGGACTAGCTGAAGACAGCGGAAAAGGGAGTTGGAACTTTAGTCTCTAGACTACACTGATAACAAGGCGGAAAGCTCTGGTTTTTTATCAGCCTCTCCTGAAGTGGGGAGCTATCTATAAATGCTCCAAGATTTTGCAACTTTTAACTTTCCATGTTTGCTATTTTGATTATTCACTGTCTTTTCTTGTAAAGCTTATTTTCAGTAGCAAAAGGAAGTCCAGATGAGAAAGAAGAAACTAGCTCAAATAGTATTAGTAGGATTCAATGACTGACTGAACTTGGAAGTGCGTTAAGGAACTATTACAACAAGGTTTTAAGTCTGGGTAACTCTTGAGGGAATGACCACTACTGTCACAGCACTTGTAAGGAAAATTGGGAGAAGAGACTTTCTTTACCATTCAAAACTTAATGCTTAGAAAATGTTTGTTCAAGCAGTATCTTGGCAAATGTTTTTCTTGTAAACATATTTTCCCCTTAACATTCTAATAACTATTATAGACATATGTATGGCAGGAATAACACACAAGCAAAACCACAAACTTAAAACAAATTTAGTGACATTAATCAATCATTTAAATAACCTGACTTTTACTCCTTTTATTCATCTGGTTTAGGTCTTCACCTCCCGGTAATATGTTTTAAAATTGGTGCCTCTATCCCTTACACACAGGGAGGATCCATAATTCACGTTTTTATGTGCTAAGATACTGTGTGCAGCCGGAATTTTCGAATTGTAACCCGAGTTGACAGGAGGGTTGAGGAAGAGATCGGCCTCAGCGTCCAGCCTTCACCAGTGCTGGCAGCCCGCGACCCACTGACCACTGCTCACGGCCAAGGTGCCGCTGCCTTCGAGAATCTATACGGCCTTGCACATGTCCGTGCAAACCCTCCGTCATCGGTTAGCAGAAAAACCCGGATGTGCAGTGGTCGGGGTGGGGGTGGTGGAGGCGCGGTCCTCTACCCATGAGGCAGCGCGCTTAGTTATATACCTCCACCGCGGTCTGAGGCGCTCATTCCACGCCTGGAGTCACCCTGGCTGCTGCTGTTCCTTGGCCGCTGCTTAGTGTTTTCGTGCTCCTCCTCTTTCTCCTCCTCCTTCGAGTCCCTGTCTGGCCGACCTGTTCTGTTTGCGGTACGTGTCCCCCACCCCAGCCTGCGCCTCGCGGAAGCAGGCGGAGGCTCTCGCTTGCGGTTGTGACCGCCTTGCTCTGAGGGCAGCAACAGCGGCCTAGCGGTGAGGAAGGCAGGTTGAGGGTCTGGATTCCGGCGTGAATCGCCAGAATCGCCCAAATCGCGGGGGAGGGGACGGCGAGACGGCGAGGTGGGGAGGTGGCGTGGTGCGGGTGGGCCACCATTTTGCGCCATCCCTGGCGGGGGAGGGATCTAGGGAAGGTAGCTGTTCGGCGGCAGGGTTTGGCGGGCAGCTCAGGCCGTGGACACGCGGGCTGCCGCCGCTGCCTCCTCATCTCTTGGGGCCTGCGCATCTGTCCCGTGACAGGTTTTGTCTTTTCTTTCTGGAGGCAACTCCCTTTGGTCTTTTGTACACTTGATGCCGATGTTTGGCGATACCCGCCTACTCCCAGGTCTCTAAACTCAGAGGCAAAGAAACTAGAGATGGTTTCGAACTTTCAGGCTTCAGGGGCCCTTGGGCCCATCGTTTCTGTCCAGGTTCCCCCGACCCAGGTTACTAGTTGTGGAATGCTCACACCCTTGTTCTTGCTGAAGGGACTTCGCTCCTCCGTCATAGAAATCGTGCTCCATTCCGTTATTGTCTAGAGGAAAAGAGCTCTGAGAAGAAACGTGGAGTTCGATATGCAATTTTTTAATAGTGAGCTTTGCAGGTTTTACTTAATGGAAAAAATTATCTCATTCTGAGGTTTTATCCTTCTCTAGACACGGAGGGAGTGCCTCTGGACTTATCTTAAGTTTTTATGCTTTTATTAAGGAGAAATCAGAGTAAAAATGTCAAGTGTACCAGCTTCTGGAAGCACGGGAGATATTCATCCAAGGGATTCTCTTTGTTTGCAAAGATTTTTTTAGTTGGCTTTTTTTTTTTAATATGTGGACTTAAATTTTGCCTTTTGTTTTCAGTTTTGGTCTGTGAATGTTAATGTCTTTTAGTACCATTAAATATAAAATTGAAACCAAGAAATAGAGTTTTAAACTACAAAAGTCTCCTCTTTGCATTTGTGAGATGTCCTGCTTTGGGGGTTATTGTGAAAACTCAAACTGTCTCCTTAAGGATAAATTTTGCAGAGCCTATGAAGGCACACTGGTTTGTTTATAAAATTAATTTAGGGCTGTATGTCCTTGATGTTTTAACATTGGTACAAATTCCACTATAATTGTATTTTACATTTGTATATCTCATTGATTATTACCCTTTTTGAGGTGGGCTGTGGGGTGTTGATAGAACTGTGTGGAAGGTGAGGAAACAGCCTCAAGGAGATTTCACAGAAGTCATAATGGGTAAGAATTGATAGAACCTATTCTTAAACCTAGGTCTTCTAACTCTTCAGCTAGTGTACATTTTACTGTATTATGCCCCACTTTTCACGGGAGTGAGGTGGTTAAGAAAAATAAACAAGGAGGCTCACCCAAAAAAACAAGAAATATTTTTCAATTCCCTTTTCTTTTATATTTTTATTTTTAATACTTCATCTTTTCATCTTTTTAATATGTAAATATTGTTATTATTTCCAAGCATGTTAAAAAGTTGAAGAATAGCCCATTGATAAAAGTTTTGATGTTGAAGGGCTCCAAATTTCAGCTTCCCCTGTTCAACCTATTTTCTTCAGTTAAGTTTTCTAGTCCAATCCAATTTCTTCAGCCCAGTGTTTTCCTACTTAGCATCAGCATTTTTAGTTGAAGAAGTGAGTAAGGGGATATGGATATATAATTCTGTACCTCCTCTTTACTCCCATTTGTTCTCTTTACTCAAGAGGACATTTAGAACCATACCAAGTGGAGAGATCAGGCAGAAATGAAAAAGGACTCATGTACTTGGACAACAGTGTGGTAATTGCAGGGGGGAGGGGAGTATATGGGGGATAAATGGTAAAGGAAAAAAATTACAATAAAAATTAAAGAACCATACCAAAATATTTTTGTTGCTATTGTTATACTAATAGGAGAGGGGAAATATCTAAATGAATAGCAATTTTTGTAAATAGAAAGCAGTCAGTAGTTTTAGTGATAGATAGGATGTTGGAAATAATATATTAAAATATTTTGTTATTTCAAATGTAACTTAAAGGATCAGAAATATGTATGACCTATTTACTAATTAAATATATAACTGAATATTTTTTCTGTCTTCCTATGTCAAGAAGGACTTAAAAGTATTTGGTTTTCAGTCAGGTTTTAAATAATGACTCAAGAAGACTTGGTTTACCAAGTAATGTGTATTGAAATGTGTGTCTAGACTTTTTTGATTCACTTTCTGCAAAGCAGTTTTCTTTTAAGGAGTGTTTTTATTCACTCTTTGAGATGTCAGGAAAAATAGTCATCACTATGTACCATCTGGGTCCAATGGAACATTTTACTTTACTTTTTTATATTTTAAGTCATTTTACAAATAACTTAGAAAAGAATAATGAAATAGTGAAACCTACTTTATTAGATATTTAATAAGAATTTAGACATGATGCACTTTGTATATAATTAGAAAAACAAAAGATGTATTTCAGAAACTGATATAAGAATCCAGTTGTCTTTTATTAAGACAGATATTAAAGCCATTTGCAAAAATGTAAATCAGTGCCATATTTCTCATTAAATCTTTAGGAAAAAATTATTTCCATTAAAACTATATATGAACATGTATTGGGCTTATTCCTGCTTTAAATAAATAAATACTAAATTTTTTAAGTTGTAATTTCTTTTTTTGTTTTACTAAAATTGTTGTTCAATTACACTTGTCTCCATTTTCTGCCCATTACTCTCCCCTGCCCCAACCCCCCCCCCACATTCAATCCTTCTACCCCTTGTCTATGTACACAGGTCCCTTGTAACCTGTTCCTTGATTTGACCCTCCCCCTTCCCCTCTGGTCACTGACAGTTTGTTATTTATTTTCATGTCTCTGGTTCTCTCTTGCTCTCTAGCCTGTTTTGTTGATTAGGTTCCACTTACAGGTGAGATCCTGTGGTAGTTGTCTTTCACCACCTGGCTTATTTCACTTAGCATAATGCTCTTCAGCTCCATCCATGCTGTCCTGAAGGGTAGGCCTTCTTTCTTTCTGCTACATAGTATTTCATTGTATAAATGTACCACAGTGTTTGATCCATTCTTTTACTGATGGCCACTTAGACTGTTTTCAGCACTTGCCTATTGCAGATAATGCTGCTATAAAAATTGGGGTGCATAGGTTCTTTTGAATTGGTGTTTCAGGATTCTTAGGGTATAATCCCAACTGTAGAATTGCTGGGTCAAAAGGCAGTTCCATTTTTAGTTTTTTGAGGCAATTCCATACTGTTATCCACAGTGGCTGCACCAGTCTTCATTCCCACCAACAGTGTACTAGGGTTCCCTTTCCTCCACAACCTCACGAGCACTTGTTCTTTGTTGATTTGTTAATAATGGCTATTCTCACCAGTGTGAGGTGGTATCTCATCGTAGTTTTAATTTGCATCTCTCTGGCTAGTGATGCTGAGCATCCTTTCATAGTCTCTGAACCCTCTGTATGTCCTCCCTGGAGAAGGGTCTGTTCAGGTCTTTTGCCCATTTTTTAATTGGATTGTTTGTCTTCCTTAGTGGAATCCTATGAGTTCTTTATATATTTTGGAGATTGACCCTTGCCTGAGGTGTTATTGGCAAATACATTTTCCTATACAATTGGTTCCCTTTTCATTTTGCTGATGTGTTGTTTAGCCATGCAGAAGCTTTTTAATTTGATGTAGTCCCATTTGTTTATTTTTCCTTTATTTCCCTTGCCCTAGGAGATATATTAGCAAAAATATTGCTACATGGGATATTTGAAATTTTTGTGAGTATGTTTTTTCTAGGACTTTCCTGGAATCATAGCTTATATCTAAGTCTTTTGTCCACTTTGAGTTTATTCTGGTATATAGTGTAAGTTGGTGGTCTAGTTTCATTTTTTGGCATGTACCAGTCCAGGCCTCCCAACACCATTTATTGAAGAGGCAACTTTTACCCAATTGTATGTGCATAACCAGTTTGTCAAATATTAATTTACCATAGAGACCTGGGTTTATTTCTGGGCTATCTATTCTGTTCCATTGCTCTATGTATCTGTTCTTACGCCAGTAACATAACTGTCTTGATTACAGTGGCCTTGTGATATAGTTTGAGGTCAGGTATTGTGATCCCTCCTACTTTGTTCTTCTTTCTCAAGATTGCTGTGACTATTCAGGGTCATTTATGGTTCCATACAAATTTTTGAGATATTTGTTCTATATCTGTGGAATATGTCATTGATATTTTCATAGGGATTGTGTTGAATACATAGATTGCTTTGGGTAGTATGGACATTTTAGTGATGTTAATTCTTCCAAACCATGAACATGATATATGCTTCCACTTATTTGTATTTTCCACAGTTACTTTCTTCAGTGTTCTATAGTTTTCCGAGTACAGGTCTTTTACCTCCTTGGTTAGGTTTATTCCTCAGTACTTTATTTTCCTTGTTGCTATAGTAAATGGGATTTTTTTCCTGATTTATATTTCTGATATTTTATTCTTGTATACAAAAATGCCTTCTGTTTCTGAATATTGACTTTGTGTCCTGTTGTTTCGCCAAATTCACTTATTAGGTTGAGTAGTTTTTTGGTGGAGTCTATAGGGTTTTCTATGTACACTATCATGTCATCTGCAAATAATGACAGTTTTACTTCCTCCTTTCCAGTTTGGATACCTTTTATTTCTTTTTCTTGTCTGATTACTGTGGCTAGAACTTCCAATACTATGTTGAATAGAAGTGGTAAAAGTGGATAACCTTATCTTGTTTCTGATCTTAGTGTGAAAGCTTTTAGTTTTTGCCCATTGAGTATGATGTTGGCTGTAGGTTTCTTGTATATGGCCTTTATTATGTTGAGGTATGCTCCCTCTACTCCCACTTTGCTCCGTGTTTTTATCATGAATGAGTGCTGTACCTTATCAAATGCTTTTTCAGC